CCCCAAAACCCCAAAACCCCAAAACCCCAAGAACTATAACTCATTAAAAATGTTTAAATATCTGATTTAAGAAATTAAAGTCTTCTAAGATATATTAAATTATAACAAATAACGTCAACATAATATTGGGATAATTACTAAAATTATTGTCTTAAAGTCACAATAACTTCTTTATTAATTATAAACTTCAAGATCAATTTATATTTTCAAATGAAATGAGGTGATTCTATATCAAATAGAATCCTCCTTTACTTTGGCTAAGATTTATTTCCCATAAACTTACTGTTCTATACCTAGCAAAAGTACTTCTTAGTAGATTTATTCCTTTCCTCATTGATTTTTTCATCTCCTTCATAATCTGAGATATTTGAAGGGTCAGAAACATTACTCTGTCTACTCATCCTGCTGAATGAGGACTTATGAGATTTAGATGCATTTGACACACATAATTCTATCATCTGATTATCAACTCCTAGAAGTTTTAATTATGGTCTTTATTGCGGTTACTTTCTTTAGCTATCTTCATGAGATATTTCTATGTTTTAACTTTGCTTTAAACCATTCTTTGAAATTTATTTTAAATTGTTCGAATTCTTGGATTCTTCCTCTTAAATATTAAACTAGCAATTATAAGCTGAGGACTGATTTTTATAGCGATTGATAGTCAGGCTCTGACAATGATTCATGCTTTTTTATGAGTCCTAATTAGGATTAGTATTTGGCCTGAATGAGCCTGTTCTCTTTCTATGGCCATCTATTAAAGCATAGTAATTTACGCTATCTCTAGAATCTCTGGACTATTATCAGTTGCTATTACCTGTTCTTGATCCCTATTTTGACTAAGATCTATATTTTTAGCTTTGACTGTAACTTATTTATACTGTTGTTGCCCTTAAGTAGCCTCCATTGTTTCGTCCTCTATCCCTTACATTCAATTTTTCAATAATCTGATTTGTTTACAATTATATCTGAGGTTCTTAAAATGGGTTTTAAAAAGTTTTTTCTTAAACATGTCCTTTAAAATAAGAGGAGTCAATGAATGATTTTTTTTCTAAGACGATATTATGTAATTCACAATTTATCCTTAGTCCTTCTAAAAGAGCCTCTTTATCTAATGAAAACCAGGGATGATTTAATGCCTGTTAGGCGTTTAGCCTTACAGCTGGATTTGACTCGAGAAGTTTCATTAAGAGATCCTGCCCCTATTTAGATAACTTCCTTATAGCGTTAGGAACGTGAGTGATGTCACATAATTTATTTGCAAGCAGGATATTTTGTTTCGAGCTCTAGCTGAATAAGTATCTCCCAGAGACTAAATTGTACATAAGTGATCCAACACTAAATATGTCAGCTTTAGTTCCATAACCTTGATCTCGCAGAATTTCTGGTGCTATATATGAAGGAGTACCACATCTGTGAAAAATGTTTTCATTTGGTTTTATTGCTTTTGCTAGTCCAAAGTCAGCAATTCGAATCTCATAAACACCCTCTTCTTTAGTCCTTAAGAGGATGTTTTCAAGTTTAATGTCTCTGTGAACAATATTTTCCTTGTGAATAAAATCGAGTCCTAGTAATACCTAGGCCATTATTGTTTGAATATCTCTTTCAGTAATAGATACGTTTTCTTTTGCCAAATCAAGGAGTGACCCACCCTCTTAATATTCAAGTAGCAAATAAAGTTTAGATTTACACTCATATACCTTTAAGATCTGTAAAGCTGTCTCACAAAGTACAAGACGTCTCTATATCATGATTTCTTCCTTGAGCTGAGCTATTTCTCTAAGAGGATCGTGAATGGAAGTTTTTCTAATAACTTTTAGAGCATATTTATCAATTAATTTTGACTCTTAAGCTATTTTAGCCGCTTTCTGAACCAAATAAACTTAACTATTTCCTCCTAAGCCTATTTGTTCTTTCTTAAGATACTTCACTGGTTCACCTAAAATAACTGAATATTAGCTAAGAGTTTTGTACCATATCTTCAGATCATCCGTGAATGATACTTTAGAGGGTTTTAACCATGGTTATATTTAAATATGATTAGCACTCCTTCTAACAGACCCAAATTGAAGAAATTATTCTGAGGTAACGATTTGTTTTGAACCTTTAGATTTGAAAATATTTCACAATCCTCGTGCGATATAAACTCATACTTAGTGCTTTAAACTGATTTAAAACTGAAATCCTCATCAAAGACTGAATCGAATAGAAATTTGGATTTTTCCATGTTTTTATAATAGGACTGGGTTGTATTATTTTAGTAAAATAATCTATTGTTTAAACTGAGATTACTCACTAATAAATTCTATTATTTTGTATTAATATGATTAGAAAATAAAACAAATTTATATATTGAGTTTATTACTTTGAATAGAGTTTAAATTGATCTGAAGGGGTTTTGGGGTTTTGGGG